TGAAAATAAATTATTACATGCCATGTCTTATCAATATGTTCGATGATAAAAATTGTTAAAGACGACAGCGAGAAGAAAGTCAGAGAAACTTACTTCAAAAGCGGAGACTGCTGGTTACACCTGCATGACATGAACAATCGTATAGTTATGAGGTTGTGAATGGAGTGCCCGATTTTTTAGTTGGTACGGGAACGCAATCGTATGATCTCCAGTTTGGTTTTAATGTACGTCAGTGTATTTATTTATACTCGAGATAAATTACACCTAAACTTTCCGAACCCTGTAATTTGGTTATTTCATTAACAATAACGAATCTACATATTGTCAATGGGGGTTCCATACTTCTCTTCACAAAGAGGAGCCAATCATGGAATGGCAATACAAGATAAGTTAGATCTAATCACAGTCGGCCGATCATTAGATAAACATTTCGGTACGTTAGTCTATTATGGGGGTGCATTACAAGACATAATGGGGTTATGTGCGATAATCCCTGTTTTTCTCCTTCCGCAGTATGAATTGCGTATGCAATTACAGAATTAGAAAATCGTGTCCCAATTTTATTTGTTATGGACACGCTATATTAATATACAACAACTATATGTATACTATAACTTTGATAAGGACTGTCTTGCAGATATTAATATTCAATGGCGTAGTTATCTGTATCTACTTGTCGATCACATGTAAACATACCATTTTCAATATATCAATCTTGTCTATTTGTCGCAAGTCTGTTTAGACGGGTTTCCTTCAATGGCATCACATTTCAGGAGTCATTCATATTAACTGGGTTCTCTGGCGTTTGTCATTCCATTTATTGTCAATTTTCACAAGCAAGTACATTATCAGTTACCTAATGAACAATCTAGTCCGCAGCTCGGAGAACAAGTTTGCTAATAATGTTCCTTTCATTCATTCATCACATTTTCAGGACCATTGATTAGTTTGGTCGAACAGGAATCTAATTCAATACATGTGTAAACATACGCAGGTAATCGATAAGCAAATGTCTTGTAGCGAGGGGTCAATATTTAGTATGCAGTTATGAATTGACATATGTAACGCGATAGTAATATGTAATACCAAAGTCAGTTGTGCTATCGCTGTGATCTGCAATGTGATAACTGATGTATACGTATAAATAGTATTATCATTACATCAAGGCACCAGCAATGGACATTCAATAGAAAAATTACCAACTATGTTGTACATTGGTGACCTATCTGCAACAGAACAAACTATGGGCCTTACCAAATTTGCAGACAAACGACTGCGCAATTTATTCTGGGGCAAGACAATTCAATGATAATGGCTTGTTAATAAAAAAAACCATTTTGTTATAACAAATAGCCCCTTTCCCATTAACAATATCAGTCTTTGATTATTTTATTCACCCTTTGTGCTAGCCATATGCAGCACAGCATGTAATAATGTTTACCTTTATTCGCTAGTTTATTATCCGATATTGATATCACCCATTGATTTGTACTGCGTAAATTCTGCCCAACGCTTTTTATCCATTACACAAGATAATGCCAGAACCGTCCATACACACAAATTTAAAGTAACCAACACGACACAGTCAACGTATAGAAATGGCTGCTTAATCTGCAGGGTCTTACATATCTTGTGTACAACCTTTTTTTTTTCCACTCTTTTGCTTTGCTTTCCATAGCATGATTATGATGCCTCCTTGCGTTTCAGCGTACCGCGTGTCACTTGTGCCATTTTGTCTCATATGTAATAATCAAATTCCATTGCGTATGGCTCGTTTGTTATCCACTTTGTGACGGTGATTCTGTTTCACATTAAATTTTCTATTGACCAGATATGTTTCAAAATGTCTAGCGCGTACTATTTTCTTTTGTAAATGCATTAGGAAATTTACTATTGTCAATTCAATGAATGGAGTTTTCGGTTATAGCCCCCTTCGGTCAATGCTTACAAACGCTGTATATTTTCGCGTCTTTTGCGCGTGAGTATTACTTGATAAATATATAGAATTCTATAGACAACATATTGAAAATATGAGCCACGCCATTAAAATTAATAAAATGTAAATACATTGTAGCTATTGTCCTAGTACACTCAAAATCTTTATAAGTGCGTCCAAAATCTACATGTTCCCCATCTTGCAATTTTTTTTTAAAAAAAAAGCAACTACAAGCAACAACAAGCAACAACAAGCAACTATAAGCAGCTGCAACAATAAAAAAAACTCAAATCAAATCCGTATTTCATTTTATTTTTCAAAAAAAATACTACGAAAAGATGCCTGTAACTCCCGCACGTCGTCAGGAATTGCGCCTGCAAAGGCAACTCCAAACCAGATATAGATTCCGCCCAAACGCTTTCATATTATTTCGGCAGAACGTTTGGCAAGTAGTCAGGATGATTGATCAATTTGATCAAGCCGAAATATCGGCCATAGCTGCCCAGGTATGGCAGACAATGTCTGCAAAGGAGAAGGCATTTTTCGAGGTCGAGACGGCATTAACGGCAGAGATTCATAATAGTAGGTCGTTATTTGACCGCCCGCAAGACCTGGGACAAAGCCTGGAAATGCGGACAGAATGGGTCGGTGGGGTCTTTTTCCTAATTAAAATCTCTCCCAAATAGCCATATGGCTTCTAATCTCGTCTTCCATGTCGTCTCCTTGTGACCACGCACCTTATATTTCTTAGATACTTGTCTTTGGTAATTTTTATTTTAAATTCTTAAAATCAATAAGATTATTGTAGCATATTTCGAGCACCATGCATTATCTGTATTTTCATGTCAACTTGGTTCAAATATTAGATACTCATGTTACTGATAATTGTGTGGTTTCATAACTCTTGGAATATTACTTTATTGTATAAGTTTACGATTATTAGGCAAATTTTTACTTTTCCCCTCAATGTTGTTAATTCTATCACAACCTTATTATTATTCACCACTTACATTTCAAATATCTCCCTGGTGAATGATAACACGCACCGTGGATATACGTCTCTTTTGTCTTTTTAATATCATTGATTATTTCAAGTAAGCATTATCGAAGGTACCTCTTCAATTTTAACAACATTGTATTATTGCATAAGAACTTGTAAAAATATATTACCTGAAGATTGAAATCATCGACGTAAGTGCATTGGTCTAATGTGATATTTTTCGGATGTCAAGTATTGTTTCTCGGATGTCAAGCACCCTAATATCATGGCACCGATAATTCACTTCTGATGTACTAAAATATATGCGATAACAACAATTAGTTACCTGCCAATCAACTGCTTAAACAATATCGTTATATAAAAATGACTCACCTGAAAATTCATCGAGTAATTGTACATCTTTGATGTTTTTTTGTACGCCTGCCGTCCAAGAAGACAACCTGTTGATTGACCAACGTCTTTGATCGGTTCTTGGCGTAGAGAGAGTCAGGCCTGGTACTGATAAAATTCTTCGTTCTGACAATAGTAATAGTATGGCCGATCGAAGGCTATGATGCACATGTAAGATTTCCACGCATACCCCCTGCAATCGATGATTATAAATTGCGTCATCTGTAAGAAGATCCTAGAGAGAGAAAAAGTAATTGTCAGTAAAGGATTCTATAATGTTAACGCTACTAAAACACTAGTTCTTAACCAGCTAAAAAGATGAGAGAAAAGACATATTACATACTTCAAATATTGGTATAGGAAAGACATCTCCATGAAATTGTCGTTTAACGCACTACACCCGTTGATTCGATAACCCCTGTCTGGCGTTTAGAAAGCAAGATGTTTTCTTGATCCATTGTGTGGACATGCAGTCTGTCAAAAAGGTAGAACAAAGTGATAGAGATGAGCGAGAGATACATTCGAGAAATTGTAAACTCATTACACTTTGCCGATAAACTTTTCTATAAATCAACCAATATTGTTTTGTTCACTCCCATTAGAAACAACAACCCCACCCCATACACTCCGTCGCCGCCTTACCTATAGTCTTTTCATACGACTGATCTTCAATCCCAAGACGTTAAGCAACAATGGTATGTTAGAGATCCTTTAGTAATTACACAGAATAAGAGTTTTGATTTCATAAGCGAATGGATATTTTCAAGCGACGTTCCCCCACCCACAAGATAGAATTTACTGCCGTTATATGAATCTCCTGTTTTCTTAGAGTGATCTCTGAAATACTATGATCGTTTACATTTGCCGAATCTGAATGTGGGGTTTTAACTCAGTTGCTACTAAACGTAAACTGTTAATAAAACATAAAGTCACCAAACTTTCACGTTGCATACATAAGTCGGTTAAAGAACAAGTCCAACACAACAACATACTGTCTATAACAAAATAACAAAACAACATGACTTTCATAATACTTTTGACTATATTATTGCCCTTGTTCATACATACTCACTTGAGTCAGAGTCCTTAGCCTCAGAATTGTGTCTTCCTGTATTTTATTTTACTCTTTTTACTCGACCCCGTATACTTGATGCTTTGTTCTTCTACTTGCCATAAATCTAGCAAAAAAATACAAAATATTGGGGTTGGCTTAAACAAACGCTTAAAAACGTCAAGGTTTCTTTTATTTTGTTTGTCTCATTTTTTTCAATCCAAAAAATACGAGCCGCCGCGAAATCCAAAGTAGTCTAAAGTGTATAAAAAGATTGAATTAACTCGCTTGGGATCGTCTGATTCGTGCAAATCAGAAATTCAAACGGAATAGTGTTACACCCGTATTAATCATTAACCATAATAATGCATATCCTATTGTGAATGAGCCATAAAAAAAAGCGCCAATTCCAAAGGGGTACGTAATGAGAAGCCATTATCAACCAAGATAGTTTTAACGTTTCTCTCACACAGCGGGCCTTTTTATGCATGCGAATCTTAAAGAATGACCAAATTACCTAAATCTACAAAGAACAGGTTTGGATTCGCCGTATTGCATTTGCTTATCGTAGTGGTCTGAGTATTTGTTGTTGTGTTAATAATATCACTGATTATTTGGAGTCCCCAATAGATAGGCATAAGATTAATTGGAATAGCAAATAGCAAGTTCTAGTGCACGTTTCACAATGTTTTCAATTGGATGGGGGGGTTCAGACTATATACTTGCGTATTTGGCAGATGATCATCCATATAAAGATTTGTATAAACAAAATTTGATATATAGAAAAAAGATGCCATGGATGGCGTAAGAGGACAGACACCCTTTATTCAGTGGTATCTGTAATCTATTGATACGTTGTAAACGATACACCCGATAATAAAATTGGAACACATACACACATTGTTTGTCATTTCAATCATCCCGCATACATATCAGATACATGTACAACGGGTATATTGATTCACTTGTAAGTTAAGTATTTTATGTATACGAATTATTAATGAAAATTTTTATCATCTACTTCCTATTTTATATTAATATACGTTTGTACGATATATAATTATAGAAAGAGAGTTGCTATGATGTAATTTGCATAAACTGTTGGTACGATACCGGACCTCCCCCTCCGCCGCCGCAAGAAGACGCAGAGCCAACATATTAAATAATTACTTGCATAACAGCAGTTTTCTATCAAGAGAAGGATTGCAAAAATATTTATATCATTTCGACGCTTACAGTATACGCGAATGTATCAGTATTACATAGCCAACAGTCGTTTATCAAGTGAAGACCAAATGTGATGAAGAAATTGTAATATCTATTAGATGATTAGAGATAATTTTGCCACGTGAGATGCTAAACCTTGCGTGGAGGGAAGGAGATGCTTATAGCAAGTATATGTTGTCACTTTTAACCGAATAATGCTTTTAAGCATTATGTATGAATGGGATGGATATCTTCATTATTGTCTCATGAGTATACAACACATATTTCACCTCGTGCTACTTGGTATACTACCACAGATTCAATTGCATCGCTCGTCATGATAAAATGATCAAATCTGATTTGCTGTGTTTTTAGAGGCATATCTCTATACAAGTTTACTACACATACGTATAACTCAAACTAATATATTATGACAAACAATCAACCTGTGAACTGATACGAATGAGTAGTATGCAAGTTCCATTCCATAGATCAACGTATCAACGTATCAACCTGCAAGAACTATTGATAATCAGTCGATATGATATATGAGTGAGTATTATTATAAGTGCGATCGACATATTTCACAACCAGCAAGGATCAGCATACTTACAACAATGACAAACAATATCAACTCTTAAATAATTACACCATCGATCGTCACACGACATGATTATAATTTTATGTTTTATTTTGGACCCCTACTTTAACTTGATACTGCGTTCTTTTACAATAAAAAGTTCGTAATACTATCTCAGTATTAGTATTTGGTGACATTCTCTCTCACATCACAATAAATTATACGCTAACAATACTTCAATCTCGGTAATAGTAATGGTTTTTTATTTTCATATGCAAGCCCTTTATCTTCAAAAGTACTATATCAGGTTACGATCATCCATGGGTCAGTATACGAACCCCCATTTTAATATGAGGGGGTACTCTGAATAAACAAATCATTTTCACTCCCGAAATAAATAGATGAATAGGTATTTTTCATCAAACGCCGACGCCAGCTCAAATGGCCAAGCCTTCGAACCGAATAAGAACCTTGTCCCCTTGTGTGGCAGCTCATGCAGAACTCACTCACTCCCAGGCCAGGACCTAACCGGTTTTAGTAAGTTGGGCTTGAATTCAAAATATCAGGTCTCCGAAGCACCTACCAAATATACTCAGGATTGTTCTTTGTATTTCGCTAGTATTGTTTGTCGCCTGTTGCACATCCTTCTTGTGTGTCATTCACGAGCCAGAATCCGTGCATTCCGCACATCCTGTTTCCAATGAGATAGAATGTACACATCGATATGGGTTGTGTGGCCAAACCTTGAAAAAGCAATTAATCTTAAATAGACATTTTCTTTGTCACTGCTGTTATGGTGTCTCACGGCAAGTGGGCCAGAAATGGGGGACCCATGACAGACCTCAATGCAAGGTCTCATGTAATAATATGTATGGCACAGTAAACTAGTCGGCAAGAAGTGCATGATAAGATGTTCTATACAGCAACTCAACAAGCCCAATACGCTCATCAGAAGCTTTTTATAGGTATGCGTGATGATGTAATTGTTAAATTGGTTTGCTTTCAGTAGTTGTTATCTTTGATAAGTTATCTGCGGTTTATCGAAAGGGTATTGATGAGATGTTCACAGAATTTCATTACAATCTATCACGTGATATTAGCTATACCGTACAGTACATTGAGATCTGTAAGCACCGTAGGATCATATTCAACACAAACTGCCAAAAGCAAATCGTCATGGATAATTCCCAGCCAGGTAGTAGTTTATTACAATTTGTTCGCTGATACATCAGCCAATTCTGACTATTCACACCCACTTCGATTACAATATCAGTCAATTCTGACTATTCACACTTCGGTTACAATACATCGGTCAATTTTGACCACTTCGATTACAATACATCAGTCAATTCGGTTACAATACACCACCCAATTCTACCGGAATATAGTCAAGAAAAAAGAATATAATGCGGTTATCAAGTCAGGCCAAATCAGGACCTTGAGTGCTGTCATCAGTTTCCATCGTCTTTCTTTGTGACGCGAGTGCTTCGTTCAGTTCGAACAGCGGACCGAGCAACATATCAGTCGGATTACTTGACGAGCTGTTGGGGGGGAGGAACGGTATCGGTCGAGCTAGATGGATTTATATCGACTATTAAGGCGTCGGCGCGTCTAAAACAGTTCCCCACTAATCGGAACCTCACTTCTGCTACGTTTATATCTTCGTTCCTAGAAGTATCCTGTATATTGGTAAAAAAAAAAAAAGAGATTGATTTATGTTTGTCATTGACTACCAAATATTTTAAAGACAAAGAATAATACCTGGGTCTCTGTAGTTTCCGGGGGTTTTGGCTCTACGATACCCAACGCAACTAGGTTAGAGTATCTCCAGGTTGCGTACGGAGGAGGGGCATCGGATCCTAGAACGTCGGCAGCGGTGACCCCCGGCGTTTTTTTGGGCTTTCGAAGAATATAATTTGTGAAACGTTACTGTGTGTTCATATCGTTCGTTGGTATGAGAAAAAGAAGGAACAAAAAAAGACAAGTGAAAGAACAAAAGAAAAATCTCGCGAGAACCCCCTCCCCCTCTCTTGTGATATTGAGGAAACGGAAGGGTTTGTTTAACCTTTCCCCCGCCGAGGCGTGTACTATGAACTATGATCGAAAGAGATAAACTAGTTATTTACCGTGGTGTTCCATGGCCTGCAGGTGTTTTGTTGGTTTCCTCCGCGTCCCATCATGTTTATTATTAATATTATTATTCGCAAGTAAGTAGAGTAGCAGATCAAGTTGACGGGCTTACTTTTTGTGACGGGCTGGTAATATAGTCAATTTGTAACACACTAACCTTATCGGGCGCCTTTGTTTCCACGTCACGTAAACGACCAATTCAAACTGCGCAAACAAAAAAAACGACAGCAAAATGAAGTCTTCAAAAGTCTCAAGGAAGCCAACCAGACTGACCAATCATGACATTGAGGGACACTGTGTGATTCATTAATGTGCCTGTTTAGCCCTTTATTCAAATCCTATAATAACATTCTTGGATTAAATTGGATATGCCGGTCTCCGAAATAAAACTTTCTTTATATGGAAGTGGAAAATGCAAGCCTTTCAATTAGACATGTTATGATTGCAGATAGACGTACATACACGTCAGTAGAGAGTAATGATATTCTTTACAGGACCCTCAAAACATCTCACTCGGACTTATCTTACAATGCGTTACAGATTTTTCATGTCTTGCTGTTTTATATTTTGAGTGCTTGATCTGGCAAATATTTTAAAATCATTTTTGATTCAACTTCTAATTTCTCTTTCAGGTAATAGTCCATGCTAACTGATCTTGGTACATCACGGCCAGAAATATCATCAGTTGTTGTAACAAACAATTCATTATTTTTGGCTCCAAGACTCAATAACGCTTCAATGGATTTGAATTGAATAGATTCAGTGATAGCATTATTCAGTGAGTCTAATGCTATGTAATAACAAATAGCTTGTGTAGTTGTAGAACATGTTTTTTGGTTAAGTTGCTGGATAATATCTAAGATACCAAATCAGCTATAAAGAAACATGTTTCTCTTTAAGAGCACTTATTTAAATGTCTTTTCAGTTCTTGATAGTAGGTGCAGCTTTTATCAATTCTGGCACTACTGAATTTGTCAGCCACTTTTTCTTACGATTTTTAAGACGTATTATTTTCTTTGTCTTCTGGTAACAAAGCTGATTATAAATCAGTCGTAATTGGCTTCCGCTCGATTGAATGTTCAAACGGCATATTAATAAGAGAGACTGTATATTGTGCTATATAGTGTATATTCGGTGTTCTCTAACATATAACCGTGCTTACATCATCGCACAGACTACAGTGTAAAGAACGCATATTCGTTATAAGACATTTAAGTCGTCAAAGTAACGCGTCAGTCTCACGTTTTGTCAAAAGAGAGAGAGAGTTTTGCGAATCGGGGTAATCTGAGAGACTTACAAATCTGTGTAATTGTGTTCAAGCTGGAAACTGAATTTACAGACGATGGTAATAAAATATTGTCGTCACGTAATCATATGTAGATACTAGTCAAGAAATAACCATTTTACGCAAATGTCTATACGATCTACATCATTGTTAACGAGAATGATTATCAATGTCTATAAACCTCTGATAGAGAGCGTTATTCCATCTCTCGCAAATTACAGCATATTGGTAGACGCATTAGATATTAATCGCGCTTTTATTTTTTGTTCCGGGATAGCTTTTCTTAATTACTGTACTATGTGAGCAAACTCACAAGTGTTGGTGTACAAATCGTTGGGAGCTTTGAGGATGTTACATGTTTGATAAGCTTCCTTGGTTTGTTATAAAGCATGGAGAGTCTAGCCGTTTCCGTTGGGATGAATATGCCCTTGTAGCATAAGAAGAACCAATGTCATTATTCTCAATTGCATACACGAGGGTTGTATTACACAAATTTATTGAGTTGATGCATCAAACTCACCCAAAACACAGAGGCAGAGCCCATCGTTTTTATCCGACACCTTTTGATGTGCATCTTCCCAGCCTCATGTCTAGGACTTTTCAGATGTGTCAATTAATTTAATTTGGAGATAGCATAATGTCATGCTTGTATGCAATACGTACACGGTCACAAAGCTTATAGAAACCCGCTAGTTGCAAAATGCGATACTCTTCCAACTTTTATTACGAGTTAAAGTGTATTGACAAGCAAATGTTATAGTGTATTGTATAGAAAAAGAAGAAAGAAGGTATGAAATGTCATTGGTATTAATGAGTGCCTAAATAAAGACCTCGAAAACTCATTGGTATTAATGGAGTTCAGATATCATGTGATCTTAAACTAATAAAGGAAAGAATTCTTGAGGTGCATTTTATGTATTGTTGACAAATTGGAAGTATTAAATATTGATATCAACGACTACGAAAGACTCGCGGTAAGTTCGAATACATTTTAACATGCGCTTTGGTTATTCTACGCATTGGCTATGGCTAGTAACCAGTATCGTAAGGGGGTGGAGGAGTGGTTTTTATTTGTTTGCAGCCTTCGAAAAATGACTGCTAATCCTGCTTTCAATCACGATTGTTGGAATTTTTTTTGTTAATGAAGTCGAATTGTAATCATAATATACATCGGCCCAGGTGTGTGTGTGTGTGTCAGGTTTAAGGTTTAGTGTCTTTCCGAGAGACATTTCGTCGCATCCATATATTGCAGTCGGTTGTTTTTGTGAGAGCGGGTTGAAACCGACTCGTATGCAAAAGGCACACAAATTCTTTTTAATACAATGATTGGTTGGGCTCGCGAAAAGCGCGTAAAGTATTTTCAGGGGAATTGAGATTTCCTACGCGAGAATATGTATTATATCCCACGGCTAATTTAATAATACGAAACCACATAAGCTGTATTACCAATTAATTTACAATATACTCTTCGTCCCTTTTGCTTTAGACCATCGGCTGGTCATGGATAGACCGTATTTCCTGGTAGCTGAGCGAATATTGTTCAAACTTAAAAGGTTTTTTCTCTGCCGAGAATAAGGCTGCCATAATCAGTTTCTCCACCTACTCGTCAATTTTTTATTGGAGAATACCCGACATTCAACTCTAACATGAAGCCGCAGTTGGCAACGTCTTCTGAATTGGATATACCGATGTAGATTCTATTCAAACATAAATTAATATTAATATAGTTAACGTTTACACTAAACTATTAAGGTATGTAGAACTTTTAAAAAGTTGAGAGATTATTTATCATCGGATACTGACCATACATCCCCGTTTTGTAACCAGAGAATCGATCCGTCTAGCGGTGATCATGATTGTTTGATTAAAGTGTTCCTTGGATACGTAACGACAACATGATTGCTGCTGTCACCTCTAACGCGACATATCCACTGAAACTCCTTATTTATCTTTGCTGTTGTTTCTTATTTTAATTTACACTAGAACAACGTGATGAGGAAGAACAAGAATGGGTTGGAGTTGAATAGAGACGCATATGAGCGATTTTTGCCATGCAAGTAGTAATGGGGTAGAAAAAAAAGAATGAAGAGCAGTTGAGCTGTGTTAAATAAGGAGCCGAAAAATGCTTATGCACAAATTTGACTGTTCTTCTGTGTTATCAATATAAAACTGGAGTAGAAAAAAAGGACCAAATTGTTTCAACAAGGATGCTTGTGGGGACACGTGAAAACCAAAAAAGAACATTCAAAACGGTACTATCGGCAGCAGCATTATATGCCCGCCCGGTCGACGATAGAGAATATAGGAAGTATGGTTACGAGAACTGCCAAGCCCAGGTAATGGGTTGGAAAGGAAGGGAAAGATCTGAAGAATAATGTAGGAATAAAGGGGAATCGAGCATAGACAATTTGCTGGCGCGTACTGTTTTGGTCGTATGATAATGCACCAGATATGAGAAATATTGGCTTCAATAGTTCGAATAGAAACTAGTCGGAACGCGGGCAGAATGACAAGAATTTGTCGAACATATACAATTTGCTGGCGCGCACCATGTGTGGGATAATGGCTCAAGATTTTAGGAGGTTAAACTAAAGGGGTGAGGTAGAAGAGAAAGAACAACTTTTAGGAAAGGATGTGGAAAAAGATTGCTAATATATGGGTTCTGTCAGAACAAGTCGATGATGAAGAAAATGATGGAGATGACGGAGGTGATGGTGGTGGTTGTGGTGGTGTGATGAAAATAAGAGCAATATGAGAACGGTATTCCGTTGACTGCCTAATGCTGCCCAAGCCGCTAGGATATAGTTAGTGTATTGAATGAGAACTTTGCAGATTAGAGTTGGGTGGAAAATCAAGAGATCTAAAGAAGGGTACCTGGATATAATTGCAACACATCCGTTGGCTGCATCTTGTTTCCTGGTATTGAGGAGTCACATTGTTGTAATTATGCTTATATGAGACAACATATTCTCCCTGCGCTACGAAGAAGACAACTGTCCATGTTGATGTTGATTGCCCCAATGGGATACCGCCGATCATATACCCCCCTCAATCCTATATGGTTTTCATATTAGGGTGGCAACAGAACAAAGATTGGGATGGAAAATTGAAGGATCATAATATATGATGAAAAAAAGAGGTATTAATATTATTGATAGAAATCAACCACAACATGCTAATTAGGCATAATCCATTGCACTCGAGAGCAAATCGCGCGGAATGACTCAAATCAATTGGAATTAGATACCTCGGTACGACGCTGACAAAACATTCTCAAGTCAAGTGTATTAGAATTGCTGCTTAATATTTTGATCGAGCTTTTAATTATATTATTTAATATAATGAACGCTCAGACTCTACAAATAAAATCATTGGTCGAACGAGTGACTAATGCAGCCTATTGGACTTGTTCAATTTATGGCTTAGTATCTTCGCCATGGAAATCGGTTATAACGTTTTGACAAACTAAGCTTGTGTGTGCGAATGGAATGCGTCCGAATGTGCAAGAATAAGAACGTCGAAAATTATTTAGACGAAGCTTGTATCATACCACGTTTGTATACACTTCACTGTTTCTGTACTAATACTTGCGCGTTTATCAGATTTGACTAATCACATCACAACCTCAGAATTCTTATTCGTTGTTAAATTGGCTATTTGTTTTGTGCTTTATAATTTATATAAATCGTTGAGGTTTAAGTCATGACGCGTCACAGCTTGCAATCTCGTAGTATTGTGCTGTATGTAGCATACCCTTGGTCTGCTACTTTTTCGTAAAGCTCGATTGCCTTTTCGCTGTCTTCGGCACTCCGATACCATTACCATAGCAACGAGCAAACATAGTTCAATCGTTTTTTGAATACCTCTCTGTACACCCCCCATCTTATTAGAATAGGATAATGCGAGATGGAATACGCACTAATAAAATGCTGCCCGGTCGACGCCTTCTCCGCAAGAACAAATCCCCGTTTGGTAGATCTTCAATAATTTAGGGCCTGGCTGTTTTCTAATCATCTCTCTTATACCTTCTCCGATTTTGTAATATTCGCATGGCGTTAGCATGTCAGCTGAAATTCTTCTCTCGTGATACACATGTCGCATGGAATGAATTCTTCTCCAATTGCGGACATGTTGCGTGGTAAGAATTACGATATGATATTCAATGCAAACGAATTATTATCGTTGATGCCGTTGACATTATAACTAAAATTGAGTGCTTTCGGAACGTTCCATAGCTATGAGCCATTGGTCTGCAAACTTCCATTGATCTCGTTTAATCAAGACATAATGTTTACTTTGTCGTAAGACAATAATGGGTTTTATCATATAAATCCAGTGAATATCCAAAGTGCCATGCTAGATTCCATCCAATACCGCGCGAGTATCGGCATCGGTTGTTATGTTTAGCTCATAGTAATTGAAGTAGCGAGATAATTTCTGATGAGAATAAAGCATTTCTGGCGACCTAAGTTGACTTTTATAGATCCCAAAACTCTGCCTTCTCTCTTGAAGGAAATCCTCATAACAAGACATTATATGAGCTGTCAAACACATAATTCGTTTGCAGTATCTAATAAAGTACATTTATAGAATATCCGTCATTTGAAATTGGTACTCCTCGTAGCTCGGCCGAACCACCTGCTATTAATATTTAACTTAGTAATCAAGATAATCACTGCCGTCTCCATTACTTATCACCAACTAACCTGTGTTGAAATACCAAAGATATTTTTGATTCGAACAAATGCTTCATCGAATTGTAAGTGATGACATAGTAATAGTGATTTCGTCGGATTGATTTCCAAAGATTGGTTTAACACAGTATTATTATCGTTAACGAATATATATATTCTCTTCTCTGAGAATATCACGTTGTCAGTAGCTGATAATAGAGATTTTGCCAACAGATGGAACGACATTGATAATAAAAGTGTCTTCAATATCAACCGGACTTGTCTTCCCAACTTTGTATTATTTTTGTAGGATTATTATAACCATTATCCAGAGGCAGATTATACCAGTCAGTAATTGACGCTACAAATAAATTGTCCAGTAGTTCGGTATATCGGTAGAAACTGACTCCACGCCTCGCTTACTGTCCATACAAAAGCGATATAGTTTGGGGCGACGAGCGTCCACCGAGGCCAAAAAATTAAGTTTTGGTGCTAGAGGAGAAATATGCAGGTAGGAATATCCAGAAAAATAGAGAAACGAGAGGGAAAGGATGTTTACATATTCCATCAAAGTATGTGTGTAAATTCGGCATTAACCATCCACCGGTATTTATCCTAAATGAATGACAAAACAATAAGTATCAATCAATCGAAGGGAGGCCTAATGATAAGGCAATTGTTTTATACCAGCGCCTTACCCTCTCTTTACGTAACAAATGTGTCCTGTGTATTTGCAAACTTTCGTCTTTGATATTCTATAAGAGCAGTCTTTGGGAAGGATTAAAAGGAAATAGTAGAGACGCGTTGGTAATCGCAACAAGTTAGTCATAAATATCGCAATTAATCATATCTGTTACCATATGTGGTTCGTTGCTGCCAATTTCAGAAATTGTTTCAAGCAATTTCGAGCTATATCTTCAGAGATTCCTAATCCACATACAAATGTCTGATAATCGTATTTTCATCGATGGATAATGTGGAGCGTTCTATATATGTAGCCTGGGAATGTACTTCAAATGAAAACGTTAAAGGATGTGAATACTTCACGGTCGTAGAAAAAGCCAAGAATTTTAAACCGCATAGTAATACCATCGAGCTCAATAGCAAGTTGCTTCTTCAATGCTTGTTTTATCTCTTCCAAAGTCATTTGTATAATCTCGTCCAAATCATCCAAAGTATAGAACTTTGTATTATTATTATGCTGCAGCAGGTGATTGACCCAAACAGGTTATTTCAATTGCCCCATAAAATTCTTTTAAAGAAACCTTACTATTACCACCTTGATCATTTTTGTTTCACGTGATTGTCATATCAATCTGTATGTCGGGCAACGGTGATTGGTCATCCCCTCGATTGTATAGAAGTTGGATCAACGATCAGTCTCGTTTGCTTAGTAAATTAATCCAAGGCAATCGAAGCCGCAAAAAGAGTTTTAGAGGGCAACGCACTTTGGCTATTTTCTCAACATAGAGATCTGCCAACTTGTAAAGTCGTAAGCTCCTTTCTCATGTTTTTGATGAAATACAATGTGGTCCATTGTGATGATCGCCAAACCAAGTACACTCACGTGGAAGAGATTGCTCACGTTTTTATTTTCCGTTATCTTGAAATGTATTTTATCAAGGGAAGTTTTTAGTAAGAAAAGAAGCAATTTCAAGAGATTGGAACTTTTATCATTGCTAATTTGACACGTTTATTAAAGGGTTATATTCAATTCTGTCTCCACATAACACTAATGTGTAATAAACTGTTTTTCCACATGAAGATAATAAAGCATAGTGCGCGCAAAAGGTCATGGTATGTGGATATTTTGAGTTTGAATATAACGATTTGTTTTTCTTCAAAAACGCGAAATCAATCTTCATCGCTAGAAACCCTAAATCAGCAACCAAGAATCCGATGCTCATAAAATTTATATACACGTTAAGCGTAACTGTTGTCAATGTGTGTGCAAAAAATTGACACAGAATATTAAGTATGATTTTGAGTTTGAATATAACGATCTGCTTTTCTTCAAAAACGCGAAATCAATCTTCATCACTAGAAACCCTAAATCAGCAACCAAAAATCCTATGCTTATAAAATTTATATACATGTTAAGCGTAACTGTTGCCAATGTGTGTGCAAAAGATTGGCATAAAATATTAAGTATGATTTTGAGTTTGAATATAATGATCTGCTTTTCTTCGAAAGAGTGAAAATCAATCTCATGCTAGAAATTCTAAAACAGCAACCAAGAATCTTATGCTTATAAAATTTATATACACATTAAGCATAACTGCTGCTAATGCATGTGCAAAAGATTGATATGGAATATTAAGTATGATTTTGAGTTTGAATATAATGATCTGCTTTTCTTCGAAAACGTGAAATCAATCATCACTAGAATCCCTAAATCAGCAACCAAGAATCCTATGCTTATAAAATTTATATACATGTTAAGCATAACTGCTGCCAATGTGTGTGCAAAATATTGACACGGAATATTAAGTATGATTTTGAGTTTGCATATAACAATCTGCTTTTCTTTGAAACACGAAATCAATCATCACTAGAACCCCTAAATCAGCAACCAGGAATCCTATGCTTATAAAATTTACACACATGTTAAGCTTAACTCTTGCCAACGTGTGTGCAAAAAATTAATGTGGAATATTAAGTATTATTTTGAGTTTGTATATAACAATCTGCTTTTCTTCGAAATCAATCTTTATTGCTAGAAACCCTAAATCAGCAACCAAGAATCATATACTTATAAAATTTATATACATGTTAAGCATAACTGCTGCCAATGTGTGTGCAAAAGATTGACACGGAATATTAAGTATAATTTTGAGTTTGCATATAACGATCTGCTTTTCTTCAAAAACATGAAATCAATCATCACTAGAACCCCTAAATCAGCAACCAGGAATCCTATGCTTATAAAATTTACATACATGTTAAGCTTAACTCTTGCCAATGTATGTGCAAAAGATTGACACAGAATATTAAGTATGATTTTGAGTTTGTGTATAACAATCTGCTTTTCTTCGAAAACGCGAAATCAATCTTCATCGCTAGAAATTCTAAATCAACAACCAAGAATCCTATGCTTATAAAATTTATATACATGTTAAGCGTAACTGTTGCCGATGTGTGTGCAAAAGATTGACATGGAATATTAAGTATGATTTAAATTTCAATATACCGATATTTGCATGTGATTATTCGAAAACGCGAAATCAATCTTCATCGCTAGAAACTCTAACATAACTTATTTTCATATACGTCTAATTCTCCCACAATGGAGACCCTGGAAACCTAATTTGGCTTTTTTCGTTCGTTCATACAAATTTTTCCTTGTTACATTGTGGCGAACAATGATGTCGAATTCAGTCAATTTATGTCGTGACACGTTTGTGCGGTTGTCTTTACATTTCCAATGGCTTGTAGCCAAGTGCGAGCAGATGGCATTGTTTTTGGTGTTTTTGGCGAAAACGTGGCATTTGAATGCATTTATCTATAATGGTATAATGAATTTTGTGTCGATTTGAACTTCGAATACCCACGGTTATTATTCCGTCATTGAGGTTGGTTACTGTACCACTAATTTCTAGGATGTCATCCGAGGAGAATGCGGTTGTTTTGGTACATAAACTTCGACACAGACGCGGATTGGTTCTTTGACAAAGTTGAGGAATACACCATTTGCTTTAAATAATTGCGTTTCTGTTTTGTTTTCGATTTTGACGTGAACAGCAGTTGAAACAATGTGCACCAACATTTCTATTTTTATATTCGGTTTTGTATTTCGATGAGAGATTTAGAAAGTAAATGTTGTCGTTGATGATTGATGATTAATTTGAGACAGATACGTCGGCTTTATATATTTCTAGTCATGTACCAAAGTCTTAATGTAGCGTTAATGTGACGTATTAATTGATAAGTTGGCGTAGTGCTTTGTTGGATTTTACGTCGAAAGTCTTTATGTGGCGTATTTTTTAGTTGAGTTTGGCTTTTACATTAACCGATTGTGATTTGGAAAAAAAGTTTTTAGTTTTATGAAGGAAAGTTGCGTTGCGATTTGCAAGGAAAGTGGCGCATAGTTTAAGTTTACGTTATAAAGTCGTAAAATGTGGCGAATGTGACGTATAGTTTTATTTATGTTTGGTTGAGAGGTACGTAATACAGTATATTTTTGCTTTCAGGTGTATAGCGTCATGGGAAAATGTGAGTGACATCTTTGGCATAATGCTTATTTTAGCTTAAATTTATATTGCAACTAGATTTACCGCATTTGTAATGTGCAACGTAACACCTCAATTAATAGGGAAGGACTTTTGTTTACTCTTGAAAAACTTTTACTCAAAACTATGTCTTTTGTTAAGGGTATTCGAAATAAAGAAATTTACGACTTGATACAATCTTCCCTAGAAAGCGAACACAAACTTGAATGGATTCCTTATTCACAAATTACTGACAGAGAGCCAAGTAAATTTTGCACCGACTACAACTCCGACGCTATTCGCAAGCAAACATGTGATGACGGTAACGTTATTGAAACGAAGATAATGTTGCGATTAGTTCGAAGCTGTACATCATCACCAGTGAGTAAGTTTGCTCAAGTATACTCGTTACCAACACACAAATACAATAATGGCGTTAATCAGTTCGGAAGATATTCCATATGGCTTAATCATTGCAACAAACTCATAATTGGATTCACCGAGCATGATAATAACTATTACATGGTTGCTGATAGACACTTTTCCCATTGCTATTCGCTCTATAGATACTGCATTGAATGTGGAATACTCCGATGCAGTCCTGTGTGGTGTATCTGTGAATATAAAGAATTGTCATATGGATGGACAAGTTCCAATAACCAACTTGATGAGTTTATTAGGAAAACTCAACTTCAAACAAATTCAGCAAATGATGCTTATTTGGAATGGAATCCATTCGACTATATTAATGTGTGGAAATATAGAGTATCCTTGGATGGTCTACCTACTCCTTATCAGGTTACTATTAAGTTGATTCCACTTGATGAATATTATAATTATGACGAGGCAAACTATTCAATTATTATTTATGCATCATGTTTATTGAAAATGTTTTGGACAATTATTGACTTAATATAACATATTATTTCCACTAGTTATGTGATGAGCATCCAGATATTCTTATCAAAGATGTTTGGATGACCATTGGATTTACATATGATGAAAGTGAAGAAGAGTATTGTCTAATAAAAACACATTATGGGGGGAAATTATGTCTGGCATGTACAGATGAATTAGAACCTAGGATAAATGCATTCTGTTTGAAATGTAAAGTACCAAGACCTCTTGATTGGACAACTGGCAGCAAGTTATTGGATTCATTTATTATGGAGTCACAGACTAATACAAAGAATAAACATGATGCTTATATACAATGGATAGAATACTCTTCATTAACAAACATACAAGAGATGACAGCATTACACCATGGATGCACACATATAGCAGATTGGCTAGAGCCAACAGTGGATGAACCAACAAGAGTGACTCTCAACAGATAGTTGATGGATGGAATGCTCAGTCGTTTGATTTTTATCAGGTAAATTATTTTATGCATGTAGACAAAGCAAATATCTAATAATTCTGTCTTTAGTTGATATTATTGTAATGAGTATATTTTTACTCAATAGTTGACTGAAGAATATCCGTCAATATTGACTCCAGATAATATTTGGGTCATTGGTATTACTCAAGAGCTGCCTACTGAAGATTATTTTTTGATACTTTACAATGACATACATGCACTATTGGACAGATTTATACGATTTTCTGAAAGTGAATTTAATACTCGTTTAAAGCATATGCAATATGTTGACTTTGATGAAATTGAGGAGATTGGATCTGGTGGTTATGGAACAGTCTATACTGCCAAATATAAGTATTCAGAAGTATGGCATATGCCAGAAATTGTTGTCCTCAAACATTTCAAGTGTTTTGATCAGACATTAGAATTATTTATTTCTGAGGTAAGGAATAATTGTAGTGTTAACTAAAGTGATATTTAATTTGACATTGTATTTATTTTTATTTAATAGTTCTGAAATCATGCAAAGTGCACAAGTGAATTTGACACATTCCTTAAACTTTATGGAGTCACACA